GGCCGAACCATCAAGGGAGGATGGGGTGATTTTGTGATTTTTGACGTTTTGACGTTATTTGACGCGTACTGATGGTTGTATGTGATTTTATAGGTTGCCGTACATCGACTTGAATCCCGAATCTTGATTCAGTGAGTTGCCATTGGTCTTGGACCAAGTGGATTGAGGCATTCTATTGTGTACCAAGTTGAGGGATAAGCTGCTGCGGAGCTTGTGAAAACAATACTTAAGGTAACCTCTTGGTACTGGGGCTTGTTCCCTTTTTCTGTTCCACCTTGCCAGTTGATGGCAACGGTAGGAAGTGTGTATGAATAGTATAGAACACATGAGCATGCATGCATTATTGCTATGGGTACTGCAGTACCGAGTCTCTGGCCAGTAGACAGTTTTATTAGCCTTCGGGCATTTTCGGACTTCCGCTGGATAGGTCTCTAGGAGGGAGTTCCAGTTTACTGCGTGTCATAGTGTGTGATCCGGGTAGGAGCACACTAGGAATGTCTTTGGCGTTTTGGTTGGTTTGGGCATCATGGTTGTGGTTTCTGTGAACACACCTTGGATGATACCCATAGGCTTATATATGCCCAAGGCGTACGTGGAATTGGGGTTACCATCCCGTATCGTCGTAATTTGTTTCTTTATATTCCCCATTTCTCTAAATCCCTTGCTATATCCCGTTTTCAAAGTGGTTGTTTTATTCTATTGATATGCATCGAAGTGAACCATTGGGTGGAGTTTTCTCCAGAACCTCTTGGTTACTGAGATATATTCGTATATCTCACCCCGTCTCGGGGCATTTATTTCAGGATGTACCTGTAGCGTTGGAGCAGCGGGCAAGAGGCCCGCAGGGTGATAGAGGAATATTTTCAGTATTTGGCATATTGTTCATGTTGGCATGCCTAGGTCTAGCAGTTTGTATCATTTAAATTTATGTCTAAATTTGTAATTGGTGTTGTAATATTGTAAAAGGCAATTTGAAGTTAAAGTCGTAAGTTGTAATATTTAAGTGTATGTTGTAAATGTAAGAGAGGCATGATGTACCAAGATGGAAGGATTTTAGGCCTATGTTAGAGTTATGATTACATGATTATATTGTGAAACTACATGTGAATGGGATCTATGTGATTGAAACAAGTAAGAAATATAATGTGAGCTCTATTGTATAAACTGTGTATTAACTATAAACTGGATTGGGTTGTAAGTGCCCCAAAGCGTTGTTGGTCCTTGTGTTTGCCACCCATTGGATTATTACTGTATTATCATGTGTTTATTAGGTACATTTGAGGTTTAAATGATCGTTTACAATTTTGGGATTATCGGAAAAACAAAGGAAACTCTGGCGAAATTTCTGTAGAATTGACAGATTTTAGGCGAACTTCGGGAGAGAATATCTCCCTCCATAGAGGTCCAATAGGGACGTGCCATACGCCATTTTGAAGGTTGAGATGTCCTCTAACTTGTATCGAAATTTAAGGAAAATCTGGGTTGATCTTCGGCCTGAAAAAAATAGAGAAACACGGACTGCCCATGTGCCCTTGCACCTGAGGCAGATTCTGGACCGGATTTGGGAAATTAATTCCCGCTTCGTTTCTCAGTCAAATTAAGCGTGTGATATATCAAAATGAATTTTGAGATGTCTAGTTTGTAGGATAAACATTTGAGAGCAAATGGTTGAGTGGATTGAGTTAAGTAATTCGAGAAATGTGAGTGGTTTGGAGCTGTTTTTGGGGTTGTTTGGGCTAATTGCTTATCCAACTTCAAACGGCGATAACCGGAGCTAATGAGCTCCGAATTTAGCATATGATAGCTTGTTAAAAAGGGAATTAAGTAAGACAAGGATATACTCGGAGAAGAGAGTTTGATAGCGAGCGGTTTGGTCACAGAAAAACTTAGAGTGAAACATGTTCGAATTGGTATAAAACGTAAAGTTGGAAATTGGCTAAGTGAGTTTATGGGAACTCCTTAGTAACTTATAATAAGTAATGTAAGTTATAAAAATAGTTTAAATAAGTCTTCCGCAAGAGTTTACGGTTACGGTCACAGCTTTTAATTATTACGCTTTTTTATGATTTAAATGCTCGCGTAATAGTCGGAAAAAATTTATTCTCGTTTTTATAAATGAACTGCTGTGATTGTAACTGCGCTTAATATCATAATTAATGTTAACAATACCGGTACGTAACATGATGTTACATTCATGCCCTAAGTCTAACCTAGGCCCAACGGCCACCAAAATGCAAAATAAATAATCCTATGTCTCAATCATCTTACGAGCTTCTTGCCCGCCGCTCCAACTCCACTGCTACCTCCTGAAATAAAACCCCAAAGCGGGGTGATATATACGAATATATCTCAGTAACCCAGAGGTTCTGGAGAATACTCCGCCCAATGGTTCACTTCGATGCATATAAATAACATAACATAACATCCCAAAACGAGATAAAACAGGAGATTTAGTGAAATAGGGGAGCATAGGGATACAAAATACAACGAAGCTGGAATGATCGATGCCAAAACCATGCAACGTCCAGCCTATTGACTCGGCATATAAGCCTACGGGTTTCAAACCAAGACGTGTTCCTAGAACATCAAACCAAGGCACCATCCATCCATATCCACTCGAGACTTCCTAGTGTGCTCCTATCCGGATCACACACCACGACCCCAGGTCAACTGGAACTCCCTCTCGGAGACCTATCCAGTGGAAGTCCGTAACGCCCGAAGGCAAACAGTCTACTGGCAGAGACACGGTACATCATATGTACCAACACACATACAATATGCATGAACATGTTATCCTATATTATTTACATACACTTCCTACCATCACCCTCAACGGGCATGGTGGAACACACAAGGAGATCAAACCCCAGTACCAAGAGGTTACCTGTATAATCCTCTTCCACAGCTCCAATGCAGTATATTTCCCGAGCTAGGTACACAACATAAATGCCTACACAGAGCACATTCCCAATTAATTACCATTCATACAAACACATACAAGTTATTAACTCTTCAAGCATAGTTTCAAATACTCACCACAATCCCACTCGGTCCGGGACCAAGGGCAACCTACCGAGCTCACGGTTCAGGGTTCAAATCCACGTACGGCAACCTACAATGACCATGTATAGATCATCAACACACGATAGTTCTATCAAAATCCAAAAACGTCAAATTCTCCTCCCCTCACTAGTGAGGTTCGGCCATATAGGTGTTAATATACAAAATATTTTTCTTTATTTTCTTTCTAATTTTCTTAAGCACTCTTAGGTTACCAAAATGTCATTTTAGGTGTCACTTTTCATTTTTCACCATCCTAACATCATTTTGCGCAATTATTTCCTTCTAGGGACATTACACAATCCAACACCATCCAATACTTTTCCATTGATTTTCCAAGCATCCAACTATCACACAACCCTTCTAATTACCATTTAACAACACAATATGACAATCATACAATTCCACAACTTCACATTCCTCTTTTCCCTCTCAAGGCCGAAATCATCATAGGTATGCCCCAAGGGATTTTCAATCCAATTCAACTACTCCACACCTCATACAATCCTATTATTAACTCATACAACATACAACGATCCAATTACACAATCCTAACAACAATCAACTTTCACAAATTCATGGCATCATCCAAAATTTCCTAGTTATCATAATTTTCACTAGTAATTTTTATTGCATTTGTAGCTCCAATACATCATTATAAGACATATTCATCTAATACACAATTTCCATTTGAGCTCTCTAACTACACAAATCAAACAAAACCACTTTAGGGTTCATGAAACTAAATCAATTAATCAAACCATTAAAATGTGATGAAACTTACTCAAAGGGTTGGTATAGGGCTCCTCCACATCATACTAAACCATTGGAGCTCCGAACAACTCCATGCACACAAATCTAACATAAAGGGCTGCGGGTTTGGAGGGGGGGTTTCCTCAAAATATAGTGGGTTTCATGGCTTACTACTACTACCAATGTGTTTGGAAGGTGATTTTCAACAAATTTCAAGACAAAAATCACTTGATTTGGTTAAGATTTGGTGAAGTTATGGAGGGAAGAAATCAAAAACTAAAATGGACCAAAGGATGATGAATACTGCCATGACAAGTGGCCTTTTAAGTGACTTAAGTGGGGTGGGCCACACCGCCATCTCACGCGATTTCAAACTAATTCGAATTTCCCTCTGATTCCACTAAACGTCCATAATTTCATAACCTATTTAGAAACTCTAATTTTTAACATTAACCATTGTCCTTTAATTACTCTTGATCAGATGAATCATGAGTTTTTCGGTCGTTCGGAGAAACTGCAGTTTTAAGCTGTTACGCGCACCGTAGGCACACTTCCCCAAACTTACTAATTTCCGTCAATTTTCATCAAAAATCATATTTCCTAATCTTATATACCATTTATAACTTGTATTCAAAACCTAGAGCTCAAAATTTAATCGACACGCTTTACAGTACAACTGTACTACGATATTTTTACCGGTAAAAACACTATTCACCAATTTTTCTGAAACTTGCCTATCCACTCAATTTTTTGTTCTGAATCCATTTCCAGGGTTATTTTCATCATTTGAGACCTTCTACTCAATTTTACCTTCCTAGGGTTGCGTATTTGGCTAATGACTGTTTTACCCTTTCTTTGTATTTTAGCCTAATTTCCAGGATTTTCACTAATCCTTCCCTTTAATCCTCATTTAATATATTAATATATGATTTAGAAATGCGAAGTGTTATAGATTTCTTGCTATTTTTGTCCAGAAAAATTAGGACTTGATTAAAGCTCAAGTTTGTTCCCTGGTGGTACAAATTTGGAATAATCCTGATATTCTGACTACGATTAATTCTACTCTTCTGGTTTTGGTTCCTAAAATCTAGAACCTTGTGAAGATTAGCCAGTTCCGTCCAATCTCTCTCTGGCCAGTAGTTTATAAAATTATTAGCAAGTTGATTGTTAGCAGGCTTAAACCTATCATGGCAAAAGTGGTATCTCCAGCTCAGACTAGCTTTGTCCCAAATCGTCATATTCAAGATAACATTATTGTTGTTCAAGAGCTAGTCCATTTAATGAGGAAAATGAGAGGAAAGAAGTGCTTTATGGCTGTTAAAGTTGATTTGGATAAAGCTTACATTCGTTTAAATTGGAATTTTATTCGTAAGGGGTTGGTTGAAATCAAAGTGCCTGATAGATTAACAGATTTAATAATGACAACAGTGTCTTCTCCAAAGACCAATTTGACTTGGAATGGCAGCCAATCAGAGGAGTTTCAACCTAGTAGAGGTGTTAGACAAGGTGATCCCCTATCACCTTACCTATTTTTTTTAGCTATGGAGAAGCTCTCTCACATAATCGAGACTGCTGTGAATGGTGGTTTGTGGAAGCCAATTAGAGCTGGTAAGGGGGGACCAAAAATATCACATATTTTGTTTGCTGATGACCTTATGCTGTTCTTAGAGGTTGATGAAGAGCAACTTCATGTTCTTCTTCGGTGTCTGAATCTCTTTGGTGACATATCAGGCCAGAAAGTTAGTGACCAGAAAACAAGTTCGTATTTTTCTAAAAATACCCCAATGCAATTGCAGAAAGAATCACTGAGTTGAGTGGATTTAAGCGCATAACAAATATGGGTAAGTATATTGGGGCAATGATTCAGCATGGAAGAGTGACAAGACCTTATATGCTGGAATTGTTGATAGAATGAAGGAGAGACTAACCAGCTGGCAAGCACAATCACTTTCCCAAGCAGGTAAAGTTGTTCTTGCCCAATCAGTGTTGTCTTCCATCCTTTTCTACCATATGCAAAACAATATGCTCCCTAAGAATATTTGTAATGAGTTAGAGAAAATATAAAGGGCTTTAATTTAGGATGACTCGCCTGGCAGAAGACATATGCATTTGATTGCTTGGGATAACATAACAAAGACAAAGCTAGCAGGTGGACTGGGCATCAAAAAGTTGTCATCTATGAATGAAGTTTTTTTTGGAAAATTAATCTGGACTTTCATTAATGAGCTAGACCAGCTCTGGGTAAAAGTGTTGAAAGCAAAGTATTATAGTGCAGGTAACATACAAAATGTATTCAACTGGAGAACTGGAAACTCTCATCTTTGGAAGCACATGTGTAAATTTTGGTTCAAGCTCAAGCCTAGACTGATTTGGGATGTTGGAGATGGATCATCTGTTAACTTTTGGGAAGATAAATGGCTGGACCATGGAGAGAATTTGGCTAGCGAAGCCATTGTCCCTATTCCCCAAACAATTATTGGTAGGAAAGTTAGAGAGTATGTTGATAGTGATGGATCCTGGAATCACAGGGAGCTATACAGCCTTCTACCTCAGAATTGCATTCAATCAATTAGAAGCCTTCTTCCTCCTTATGATACAAATGGTCTTGACAGACTTTCATGGAGTTTAGATGGATCTGGTAGGGTCACAATTAAGCTACTGTATAATGCTATTCTTAATTATGATAGAGAGGATTATCATAATAATGAAATATTGTCTGTTATTTGGAAAATTAAAGGTCCTATTCAGATCATCATGCTCTTTTGGAAGATGGTTCATCATCGTATTCCAACACGATCCTTGCTGGCGAGAATGAATATATTATCTGCTACTTGTCCTTTATGTAATATTAAAGAAGAGACCATTATTCCCATGGCTAGATATTGCAGCAAGGTAAGGGATATTTGGCTGGAATTGGTCCAACCTGAAGAGATCAATGGTTTCTTTAGCTTAGATTTATATAGCTGGATGCTGGAGAACTTGAAGAATAATGCTGTGATTCAATTTAATGCTCCCTGGTCTTTGTGTTTTGCTGTAACAGTGTGGCTAGCTTGGTTTTGGCATAACGAAATTGTGCATGGTGCTGCTGGTAGTTGGCTAGCCTATAAAACTATGACTATTAAGCAAAAGGTTGAAGAGATCACTCAAGCTTGGGTGAATGGTCAAACTGCAAAGCCTAATAGAACTCATGAAATTATTCATGTTTTTTGGACTGCTCCTATAGCACCTCGTATTTCTAAATGTGTGATTATATATGATAATGTGATTTAAAGGGGTAGGATTATTGAAAATCCTGAAATTAGGGCCAAAATACGTAGAAAGGGCAAAATGGTAATTTACCAAACACATATCCCTAGACAAGAAAAATTGAGTAGAAAGCCTCAAATGATAAAAATAAGGCCGAAGATGGATTCAGGACGAAAAATCGAGTGGATAGGCAAGTTTCAGAAAATTTGATAAATAATGATTTTGCCAGTGTAAAATACTGCGGTATAATTATACCGTTAAGCGCGAAATTATGATCAAAATTTTTAGGAAATAAAAATATGACGTGAACGAGAAAAATACATAGGTTATGAATTTGTGGGTTAAATTGGATGATTTAAGAAAGTTAAAAGACATGTGGGACCCACTTAAGTGACTTAAGTGGGTGAAAAGCCAAATTTCACTAAATTTTCAGATTCTCTCTCCTCCTCCCTCTTCTCTCTCGTGGCCACCATGGATGCTTGGACAAGTTTTTTTCAAAAACTTCAATCACTCAAAACTCCCTCAAAACCCACTCAAATCCAAAAGTGTAAAACATCAAAGTTGTTCCAAATCACCTTGTGAACATCTTTCTTTTCTTGAGTGAGCCACGAAATTGAGTGTACAAGAAGATCATTTTCCTATTCTGGGTGGCGGTTTTGGTGAAATTGGTGGTGGTTGGTGGCGGTTTTGGACCGTTCAAAGGTTGAAGCTTGTTCTTGGGTTGCCTAGGAGTTGATTGGTGGTAAGTTTTTCTCTCCAATCTTTGATTTTGAATTGGATTGAATATGTGACCTAGGGTTGTGCTCTTGAATTGATATGGTTAGAGGACTCAAATGGAAAATGTGTATTAGATAAAAGTGGCTTATAATGATGTGTTAGAGTGATTAAACTCATAAAAATTATTGGTGAGATTGTTTGATAACTTAGGAAAATTTGTGATTGAATTTTAAGACTTTATGAATGGGCATGATAATGGCATTGGATAATTGAATTGTGGAGCATTGATATGAGTTAATAATAGGATTGTATGATATATGTAAGTGTAAAATTGGATTGAAAACCTTGGAGCATGAGTCCATGCACAATTCGACCTATAAGGGAATTTAGGAAAAAATGTGGTTTAATCAATGGTTGATGCTTTAGTGCATAATTGGAGGATTGGTGAGTTAGATTTATGATTAAAATGGTGGAGGTAGTTGAATTAATAGTGAGGGGGCCATTAGGCCTAAGTGGCTATAATTGGTTAAAATTCTTGTGAAATTGATTGATTGTTTGCAATTGTTTGATGGTCATTGTGTTTGATCATATAGGTTGTCTCTCACGGAACCAATAGAAACAGACTAAGCTTGGAGCTTACGTGAGGAGCATTACTCTTGGAGTTGAGGTAAACCTTTGGAACTTGGGTTTTAATCCCTTGTGTGCTCCACCACACCTAGTGGAAGGTTGTGATTGGATTTTGTGCTTTTGACATTGTGTGAATATGTATGTTCATGCATTATTGCTTGATTGTGTGACATGCTGAGCATGTTGTGTGTGAAATTTTGTGATCTCTGGCCAGTAGATGTGTGTGATTTGGACTTCCGCTGGAGATATCCTTTGGGGATTCCGGTCGGGTTTGCCGTGAGGCCGACTCTGGGAGCGGCACCAGGATGATCCAAACGTGAGACTTTCGCTGGATAGGGTTCATGAGGAGTTCCAATTGGGTTTTGCAATGGGGTCGTCTCATCCATGGGAGAGGCACTAGGAAGCTTCACGGGAGTTATATGATGGGGTCCTTGAACGGAATCCTTATGTGGATGTTCTTGGATTTGTACCCAGTTGTTTGTGATTTTGTATGCTTATGCATTTTACATGATGTTGTTGTTGCACATTGAGTGAGCCATGGGGTGGAGTGATCCTCTAGTACCCTTGGTTTACTGAGACATATTTATATATCTCACCCCGCGTTTGGGGACATCATTTCAGGCTATAGCGAGCATGGGGGAGCTTCGGGCAAGAGGCCCGCTTAGTGGATGAGTTGAGGATGATGTGCATAAGGAGAGCATGGCATTTTGGAGGAGCATATGTGATGCACATAGTATTGCATTTAGTATTTTGAACTTAGGTTATGAACATATTGCATGTTGTTATTGCCATGCTTTTGGGTGTTCATAATTATATGCTAAGTCTTTGTAATTAATGTAGAAGTTATGCCTTTTGATTATAGTGGACTTTTGAGTGAGCATGGGACTTGTCCATGGCCACCAATTTGTGTTTTAAGGCATTGGATGACTTGTGTTTTAAATAGACCATTGGATGTGTAAAATGGCTATGATATTGGGAACCATTGTAATTGTCCTATTGGATAATGAATATGCATGATGGAAGGGCCTAGATCCTACATTAGTACTTGAACATAGGTTATATTAAGTATTAAGGTGTTGGGAGTAAGTTACATAACTCATTTTGTACTTTAAAAGCTGTCATCTGTCAATTTTACAGAAGGGTAATCGATTACTTTTCTTTGGTAATCGATTACCTGAAACAGGGAACGCAAAACTGAGCTACTGTGTTTAAAGTAATCAATTACTTTGACATAGGTAATCGATTACCTAGTTCAGTAATCGATTACCTATGTACAGGTAATCGATTACCAAAAACAGGGGAGTACAAAATTGGCTATTGTCTCATTCTGGAGCCTTTGGTAATCGATTTCCATTATTGGGTAATCGATTACCTCTGTGTAAAATTTTGAAAATGTGTTTTCTGAAATTTAAAATAAATGGTATTTCTTGGAGGGATGATAATTAGTATGTTTTATGCTTCCGCGAGTTTTTCATTTACAATTATGGTGTTATTTTAATTATTTACAGAAATGGTTAATCTTTAACAATGAGGATTTAATAAAAGGAAAAAATTTACCCGTAATTTAATTAACTCAATTATTGTGATTGTAACTGCGTTTAATACCACATGCAATGATAATATTACCGGTACGTAACGGGCTGTTACAGCTCCAGAGGCTGGCTGGATAAAGATTAATTCTGATGGTGCAGCTAGAAAAGATGGTAGTTGTAATAACCGAAAAATCTTGTACTCGAAATTAGCCTAATGAAACGAAATGAAAAGGGATCAAGTCCATATTCAGTGAACGAGTAGCTTTGAATAAGCAACATTAGTCCTAAGTTAGAACCCACTTTAAATAAGATAATTAATAACTTAGTCCAATGTGGTTTAAAGCCCAAATAAAGTTAAAGCCCAACCTACTTAAGAATATAACTAAGTTAAAGGATTCAAGCCCAAAGCAATGCAAGCCTATTTTATAAGAAATGGCCCAATTAGCATCTAGACCAAGATCCAAGCCCACACCACCTAGCCTTGACCCAATTACAAAGGGTCCAACACTTATTAACCTAATGGGCCAAGACACTCACCAAGCCCAACCCAATTCAAAGGAACAACCCTAGATGAGGTGTCATCACATGATTGGAGGAATTTGAATGAGCTCCACCTCCCTTGGAATAGCAAACTCGGCCATGACAAGAAGAAAAGGGAGTGGTGTTGCTTTCCACACTCCCTAGGCGCCACTTAAGGAAAGAATGGACAAGTAAGAGCTTCAGTAAGACACACTCCAAGCCTTAACCATGCATGTGATTTCCTTCCTCCAAAAGCAAATCTATTTTCCATACCCACCTTGGATGACGCAAAATGATGGAGAAAGGAAGATTGCTTCTTCCACACTCCAAGCCTTAACCATGCATGTGATGATCTTCTCCAAAAAGCAACTCACCTTTTCTCCTTACACACCTTGGAGGGCGCACTCATGACAAGGAAAAGGGAAACTTTCTTCTCCCACACTCCAAGCCATGCATGACACATCAAAGACTCATGAACCCAATACTTTCCTTATTCATGATTAAAAATGTAGATCCACTTTTCCCCTCCCCCTAGGCGAAATTGTCATCATGAAAGGAGTCAAGAGCATGACTTGTCTTACACACTCTATATTGAGTGTTGCACACTCAAAGCTACCTTATTCAACCTCCCTGCATTGGGAAGAACACCATGACACCTTAAGCTCCCACCCTCCCTCTTTATGCGAACCCCTCGTCACTTGGTGCATGACATGGAGCTTGCTTGTTTTACACACCACACATTGAGTACCCGACACAACCATGACACACGCTAACCAATGATCTTATTGGTGAATCAAAGTTGAACCTTGCTTTCTCTACCCTAGGCGTGAGATGTAAGAAGGAAACACTCAAAATCCCTTCCTCCCCTAGATCCACGTGAAAGACTTCATGAAAAGGAGATGGAGTATAGAACACTCAAGCATGACTACCTCTCCTCCCAATGCGCACACCTCCCCAAAGGACCAAGGAGAATAAGTGACTTATATGACACCTTGAGTGTCCTACACTCTACACACTCTCATTACCCCCCCCCCATGCTTATGACAACCTTGAACAATGTGAGGAGACTTGCTTACCCCACACTCAACCAAGACCTAGCCTATCCTATCCTAGGCATGATGATTAGGGAGACTTGAATAAAAAGGTGTACAAACAAAGATCTCTCCCCTTCCTAGCCGTACACTACCTAAAGAACCAAAGCAAGGACACACTTTCTCACTTCTAGCGTCGGCTACCCACTCATAAACAAGAAACAAGTGAACCAACACCTCTCCTCTCCTCTTAGACTTACGTAAAGAGAGATTATGAAGTGGTTGGAAGCAACTCTCAATCCTAGAAGACTACTTGAAGATCAAGTTGGAGTTATACTTTGGGCATCATCTTTGAGGTAAGATTTCATGAGCCCTTCATCCCTTCAAGTGAGTAGAATAAACTCTAACTAGTTTATATGACTAGATCTTGGACTAATAAAGCCATGCATGCATCTTTCATCTTTAAAATCACCTCTTAAGTATAACATCTCTAAATGGCCGAACCTCAATGGTATGCATGCACCCTCTAAATATTCACAATATTTACTAAGCAACCT